TTAGAAATTTCACATTGGAATCTTCTTTGCATTTTGTCAAATTTGCAGTGAAAGTGTTCTTAAAACAAATAACATGTGCTGGGTCATCTTCCAAGACTGCTAAAACACGAAATATATGGCAGAATGTGGGTAAAACAGAGCAGGAGACACACAATTCTCCCCCAAGGACTTCAGTCACAAATTTAATTTATGCATTATTTTTTTAACAAGCGTCCTCAGCATGAAAGTATGTCCTCTGGAACGATGGCCGGAGCATGAAGAGGCATATGAATCTTTAGCACATCTGGCACGTAAATATCTTGCAATTGCAGCTACAACAGTGCCATTTGAATGCCTGTTCTCACTTTCAGGTGACATTGTAATTAAGAAGTGGGAAGCATTATCTCCCGTAAATGTAAACAAACTTATTTCTCTTAGCGATTGGCTGAACAAGAAGTAGGACTAAGTGGACTTGCAGGCTCTAAAGTTTTACATTGTTTTGTTTTTGAGTGTACAAAAAAACCTACATTTGTAATTTTTACTTTCATGATAAAGAGATTGCACTAGAGTACTTGTATGAGGTGAATTGAAAAATATTATTTCTTTTGTTTATCATTTTTACAGTGCAAATATTTGTAAGAAAAAATAATATCAAGTGAGCACTGTACACTTTGTATTCCGTGTTGTAATTGAAATAGATATATGTAGAAAAACATCCAAAATATTTAATAAATTTCAGTTGGTACTCTATTGTTTAACAGTGAGATTAATCGCGATTAATTTTTTTGTGTTAATTGCGTGAGTTTACATACAATCAATCATAGAATATCAGGGTTGGAAGGGACCTCAAGAGGTCATCTAGTCCAACCCCCTGCTCAAAGCAGGACCAATCCCCAATTTTTGCCCCAGATCCCTAAATGGCCCCCTCAAGGATTGAACTCACAACCTTGGGTTTAGCTCGCCAATGCTCAAACCACTGAGCTATCCCTCCCCCCTTAACTGTGATTAATCGACAGCCCTATTAATAATACAATACAGGTAATGTTCAATAGAACTGTTTCAAAAGATAAATAGCTGGAATTATAAAATCATCACTTACAAAGCTCAAGTATCAGAGGGGTAGCCGTGTTAGTCTGGATCTGTAAAAGCGGCAAAGAGTCCTGTGGCGCCTTATAGACTAACAGACGTATTGGAGCATAAGCTTTGGTGGGTGAAATCTGACGAAGTGGGTATTCACCCACGAAAGCTCATGCTCCAATACGTCACTTACAAAGCTGTTTATCAATTAAATACCTGCTACAAAAAGACACTAGCTCAAGAAAAATTAATCTGCTAGAGATTTTATCAGAGATTTGATCATTTGTATATGTTATGTTTGTTACTAACAACACCCTGAAAAAGTGAAACTAGATTTTGGATCCCCTATTATAGAATAACTTTTATAGCAAAATTGCTTTTCTCCATTTACACTAATTGTTAATCTGTAGTATGCGAAAATGAGGCAGCTGATAGTGACATTCTAATTCCTGTGCCTGATTGTAGTTGCATCAGTTGCACTGCTTCGGAAATCTACCATATATGCATCATTTTTCTTCCAATCCGTTGAATAAGGTCTCTTTTCAGAGCTATAAATGTTAACTTGTAAGTGTCTCTGTTCCTGCCTAATGCACCAGCCAGCTATTTCTCTCTCATCCCCTAACCTAAACACCTCTACCTTCTCCCTAACCTAGTTTATAATTACAGATGGACCAAACCCCCTTGAACAGAAGTTCAGATCCGAATTTCATGGATAGGACTTACCTCTGTTTATTTCTAGGGGTGCTGCTCCCAGCCCATCTTATGTACAGTACACCAATATGCCCTCTTACTTTCCAGAAAATGTTTACATCTCCTTTTTCTGATTTAATCCTTGCCTTCCCTACCCTAACAGTTTATCTCCTACTCCTCCGGAACATCTAGAATGAGCCCCTCCCCACCACTGACCCAAATATCATTGCCTGTCTACGTGTTGGGACAATGCGCTCTATGGGCATGTGATTTCTAAAGCACACTAAAGTGTTGCACGTTAATTGGTCAGTGTAGTCCCTGCTGGTGCGTTTTAACATAGTGCTGTTTGAAACAATACTACAATAAAGTGAACTAGGGCAGGGGTTCTCCACCCTTTTCTTTCTGAGCGCCCCCACCCCAACATGCTATAAAAACTCAACAATAATTGATTTCCTGCATATAAAAGTTAGGGTTGGGGTTAGGGTGCAGCAAGCCAGGCAATTGCCTGGGTCCCCATGCCACTCAGGGGCCCCAGTGAAACTACATTCTTCAGGCTTCGGCTTCTGGGCTTCATGCAGTGGGGCTTCAGCTTTCTACCCTGGGCCCCAGCAAGTCTAATGCTGGCCCTGCTTGGCAGCCCCGCTGAAACCTGCTTGTGGCCCCACAGGGGTCCCCGAACACCTGGTAGAGAACCACTGAACTAGGGAACTTTTAGTATACACCACCAGGGTCTATGGACCAATTAATACACAACACATTAGTGTGCTTTAGAAATCACACCCTCCTAGAGTGCATTACTCTACTATGTAGACAAGCCCTTAGTCTCAATGCCCTGATTTACCTTCTACTGCTTACCCCCACAAATAAAATATTTTAAGGGAACTCACCAGTCCATTTTTCCATTAGAACAGTATCATCTGCAAGTGGTCCGCTTCCTGCAAACTCTCTGATGAATTTCTAAGGTGGGGAGCAGAGAGGAAAAGATGCTGTATCTCATGGGAAAGATGCAAGTAATAATTAATAATACATGACACTATGTCTTGGGAGGAAAGGAAAGTTTAAAAGAAAGGGAAGGCCGAAGAGAAGGCAGAGGCAGAAACTCCTTCTTACAGAAAGCAGTCTCTCTTGTCAGCCACAAACAAGAAATATTGATGACCAAAAGGCCAGTTAATTCTTGGAATTGGCAGAAATTACAGGGAAGCATGACTCACCTGACCTAGGACAGAAAATTAGAAAGAGAAATGTATAAAGGAGACAAACTGCAGCTGCCACGATCCCCATGGCATTAAAAATGTTACCAAATTGCATCATTTTTTCTAATATTTACCAGAGAATCCTCATCCCTGTCAATATTGGGTTTGAAATTTATACTGAGCTCTTTTCCTGCTATCTTTTCTTCTTTTCTTCCTTCATCAGTTCCCATTTGGAAGGGTAGAGAGAGTTCTAATTCTCTTCCCCAGCATTTTAGTCAGCATATACCGTCAATTCTGAGGCTGTCCCATGCCAGCAATAGGAATGTCTGTAAATGTCTGAATGGGGAGCAAAATCTGCCTATACTTTGGTGCTGTTTGACACAGGCCAGCACTAAACCTTTCTGCTTATGCCTTCTATTTCCTGTCATTGATGCAAACGTATATTCTAGCAGCCTTAGGACGCAGGGTTATCCTTATGCGCTTAGCATATAACACTTTAGGCCAGAGGTGACTAAAGTGCAGCCATGAGTCAAATGAAGCCCATGGTGTTCTGTAATGTGCCCCACTGCTGCACTCAACTTTGAATATGGAAGTGAGAGTAAAGGTTAAAGTAAGTGAGAGTGAAAAGGGGGCACAGCAAATAAGTCTTTGCTAAAGACAGCAGAAGAGCTCCTCCCACAGTCCTTCTCCCCAGCCACAGGGAATGCCTCTCCTCAAATCCTTTTCCTCTCCACTGCCACCGTAAAGCAACCCCTTGCACCTGTGAGGCACTGACATCACCAGGCAAGAGGACAAATAAAAGAGTAGCTGCCACATGATACCTTCCCATCCCCCACTTACTGTTGCGCTCCATTTCCCAGTCTATACTGTACAATTGAGAGAAAATGGTCCATTTGCTCAGAGCTCTTCCTGAGGCTCCTTTTTCAGGGGGCCCCATTTCCCATGGTCAGAAGAGAGTGACGAAGACAGCTCAGCCGAAGCTCATGCCAGCAGTCCATACACTGATACAAAAATCTCACCCCTAGTTGGACACACCTACCAATATTTTGTTAATTCTCCTTCCTTCACTAACTTATCTGAACCACTGGGTGAGATTTCCTACATTGATACAAACAAAGGCCCTTTGGATCATTTTAAAAAGAAAAGTTCACTTCTCCAGCTCTCATAAACTGGGAATTTATGACAAATGAGGATGATAATCCTTTAAATGATTCTTTCCTCTGGGTCTCCCAGCACATCCTGTTTTTTAGGCCTCAAACTTGCAAAGACTTACACACGTGCTTAACTGTAAGCACTGAAGTCAGGGTGTGTAAAGCTAAGCAGGAGTTAACTGTTTAGGGCTGGGATTGGCTTGAATTTTCTCTGGTGTACAGCTCCACACACATTGCCAATGGTAAGCAGAGAGTAATAATTTAGTGCATTGCAGGGTGGGAGCTGTGATGGCTCTCTACTCTAAACTTTAAAGACAGGGTGTGGTCAATGGATATCATAGGCCCTAATATAATATGCTCCATTTTGATGCAAAGGGCCACTGCTTGTAGGGTGACCAAATAGCAAGTGTGAAAAATCGGGACGGGGGTGGGGGGTAATTGGCACCTATATAAGAAAAAGCCCCAAATATCGGGACTGTCCCTATAAAATCGGGACATCTGGTCACCCTAACTGCATGGAGTAGGATGGAGTTTGCACATTTAAGCGCTCCTCGGGTGTCTGCAGCCAACCTCTCCTCTCACGAGGGGTCTGCGGTGCGGCTGTCCCTCACTCACACTAAACGCGGCCCTGCAGGAGCTTCAGGCAAGCTGCCTATGAGGGACTGGGCTGAGCAAAGCCCGGGCAGCCTCCCGGCCGTGTTCCCCCGCTCTCCCCCCGTTCACACTGAACGAGCTGGGGAGCTCGCCAGGCCCGGTCAGGCGGCTGGCACCGAGCCTTCACCCCCCGCACTCTGCTCCCAGAGCAGGCAGGCACCTGGTCCCTCCCACACCCCGCACTCACCCCTGGCTTTCTCCGGCTGCTGCAGCCAATAGCAACCGAGGAGGCGGCGGCTGCAGCAACGAGTCTCTGGGGCGCGGAGCGGAGCAGAGCAGCGCTGCCGGCCCGAGGCGTCCCAGCTTGCAGCTCCGCTCGCATCTCGCCGCCTGGCCCCGGCTCGCCAGGGCGGGACCCAGGGCGCAGGCAGGGCTGCTAGGGAGGCGGCGGCGGACACAGGTCAGGGGTGCGCTTCTGCGCTGGGAGAGGGCGGTGGGGGGCAGGCACGGGAGCCGGGGGCCGCAGAGGGTAGCGACGGGGACCCAGCGGCAGGGCCGGGCCGGCTGCCAGGCTCTCCTCGGGCCCGCTGCGGCCGGCTCAGCGCGGGGCGCTTTTGTCTCCCTTCCTTCCCAGGCGGCCGCGCAGGGCAGCCGGAGGATGCTGCTGCTCCTGGTCCTGCCCTTGCTGCTGGGGGCGGCTTGCGCAGCTCCGGCGGCGGATGGGGGAGCCGAGCTGCCGCCCGGGGAGCCGGAGCCGAGCTTCCCTCGGGAGGAGGCCAGTCTGAACGAAATGTTCCGCGAGGTGGAGGAGCTGATGGAGGACACGCAGTACAAGCTGCGGAACGCCGTCAAGGAGGTGAGACACCCCCCCTCCCCACCACACACACACACACACACGTCTCACTCACTCACACCTCTCCCAGGTCCCATCCCGCCTGGGGAGGGGATAGTGCCTGGGGCTTACCCCCGGTGGTTGGGATAGTTCTTCGGCCTAAGGTGTGGGTGGGTGTGTGTGGGGGAGTGGGAGGGGGCTGTGCAGGATGTTTGTGTGTTCGTGTGTTCGCCTGTGGGGCTGGGGAGGCGAGTGGGGCGTGTGGCTATGCGGCGTCTGTATAGCGCGCGTGTGTGTTGGTGTGGCCCTTTGGTGCTGTTGGAAATAGCTCCCCACCCTTTGGTGCCTTCTCGTCTCCTGTATTTGAAGAGGGAGTTTCCCATGGAGCAGTAGATCATTAACTCTGTGGAAACGCTAATTTATTTCTTCATCCTGGGGTCAGAGCGTCTGCCAGTATCTGAGAATCCTTCTAATGCCCATCAAAGGTAAAAGCAGCAGAATCCAAAACTAATATATCTAAAAGACTGATGGGTGTTTTCTTGCTTCAGCATCCCTCAAAACCCTGGAGGCATCTCTTCCGCTGGAAAGCCTTTCAGTCGTGTGCATGTGGTGCAGTAGTGGGTTTGCATTAGGCCCTTAGATTTATCTTGCTCTGTTTTTGTTAAAAATTCCAAAAGGTTTTTGATTGCCCTCAAAAATGTTACTCCTCAATCTCCCTGAATCCCAGTTAAGGTGAGAGATTCAGCGCGTTCTTTCCTGTGAAATGCTCATTCACTTGCTGCATCAGGCACTTAAAGTTGAGTGTTTGGGTCTTGATTCTACACTTCTGTGGATGGAAGTGTCACTCAAGTCTCAGTGAGAGTTTTGCCTGTATCTCCCCACTGTAACAAAATAAGGCATTTTAAATAACTCTTGGGGCTCAGTTGTGCCTTTAGTTATTGTACTGAGTAGCCACTGGAGACATGGACTATTTCACTTATATTTCAGAGCCATCCCCCTCCTCCCCTGCCCATCCCTCCTTTTGCTCCAGGGGGCTAGTAAGTTGTTGCTGGCTTATACCAATAGAGAATTGACTGTGCAGAAAACAAGGTATTTTTCTTTTAAACTTCCCTCTTCTGGGTATTTTTTTTTAACTGATTACAAATGCTTATTTCCTATTACTAAGACAATTGCAGTTTAAGCCACTCAGCAACTTTTAGGAACGGCCTAAATTTGGATCCAAAATGAATTATTTTAAAGAAGTTTTGAAACCTTAAAACTGTCCAGTTAACTCCCTCTTTCCCCCCAGCATTTCTTAGGGCCAAATTCTAACCTTGGCAATCTGTGGGCAACTTCGGATGAAGTTACTGAGAGCAGTGGACAAAATGTGAGGGCAGAATTTACCGTTTTTAAAATAGCAAAAAGTATATATTTTTAAAGGACTGTATTAACTGTTGAGCTGAGACCCTTCAGTCAGCCCATAGTGAAATTTTACTGCCTAACTTCAAATCCCTAAATGTTTAATACAAGACTGTCAGCATTTTCATTATAGAATGTTGACATGGTACTGATGGAGAAATGGAATGCAGTGTATTTTTTGTTTAGATGGTTGCATCATATGTCTGTGTGGAAATTTCTTAATATTGCAGATGTTTCAGCTGCATCAAGCTGTCAGTTTCCCTGAATGGCAGAGAAAATAGAGTCTATCTTAGTTGCACTTTCAGTCACACAGAACGAACTAAAAGTTCAAGTAACTTGTGCTCAGGTGCTCCTGTTTCCTCATTTTCCTGTTTCATTTGCAAATTGGATACTATTAATTTAGGCTTAAATAGAGACTGGGAGTGGCTAAGTCATTATGCAAGGTAGCCTGTTTCCTCTTGTTTTTTCCTACCCCCCCCCCCCCCAGATGTTCTGGTTTAACTTGGATTTAAACTTGGAGAGTGGTCAGTTTAGATGAGCTATTACCAGCAGGAGAGTGAGTTTGTGTGTGTATGGGGGTGGGGGGGATGTGAGAAAACCTGGATCTATGCAGGAAATAGCCCGACTTGATTATGTAAAGAGTTGTCACTTTGGATGGGCTAGCACCAGCAGGAGAGTGAATTTGTGTGTGGGGGGGTGGAGGGTGAGAAAACCTGGATTTGTGCTGGAAATGGCCCACCTGTTGATCACTTTAGATAAGCTATTACCAGCAGGACAGTGGGGTGGGAGGAGGTATTGTTTCATATTCTCTGTGTGTATATAAAGTCTGCTGCAGTTTCCACGGTAAACATCTGATGAAGTGAGCTGTAGCTCACGAAAGCTCATGCTCAAATAAATTGGTTAGTCTCTAAGGTGCCACAAGTACTCCTTTTCTTTCTGTTTCCTCATAGTTCACTCCATATTTTTCCACTGGCATGCAGCTTCTCTCCGAAGCCCAACAGATTCCCACAGGCTGTTCTCCAGAGGCACAGGGTCAGCTGTGGGGAGGCCTTGTGGCCCCAGACTGCCTCTCTCTGTAGCTCTGTTTTGGTTTCTTATCAGCACTCTTTTGTCACAGGGTTTCCCCTGCAGGCATTTGCCCCGAAAGCTCTCTCAGAGGCTTAAAGATACTGCTGAAAAAATCTAGTAACTTTGGAGCAGATTCCTCCAAATCTGTCTTTTTACAGATGGAAATAAGGGATCTGTGGGCCTAGTCTATTCTTGATGTATGAGTAAACTCACACTTTTCTACTGCAGTAGAACAGAATGAGCCCTAAAATGGAATACAGACTTGGTTTACTCATTTATTACATTATACCTTTGCAGTCTGCATCCAGATCCATTAAAATCCACCTAAAAATCTTTTATGATGTGCAAATTCTTATTCTGTGGAAAACAGCCTTATCCGATGCTTCAGGCACAACTATCCTTAAGAATGTGTCAGAATTTCCATTAGTAGTTGTTGTTTTCAGTGGTTAATAGCACTATAAAATTTTGTTCTTGACTGAAACATTCTCAGTCTGTGAGCAGTTTTTTTAAAACACAACTCTATGTTGTAACAGGAGGAGAAAATTTCAAATGGCTTATGATATTCTACAACTAGATGAACTTTGTTAGGTCATTAAATTATTTTGTGAATGAGGGCCCACATTTTAAATCTTTAGGCAGCGAATTCAAGATTTAGCCACAAACAAACATGCCAGATTTTCAAAGAAGTTTAGCATACACCGTTCTCAATTATTTTAAGTACTCATGGTCAAAGATTTTGGATTGGACTTTTTAAAAGAAGTCCAAAATAGCCAGATAACTAAGATCTTAAAATGTTACATTTGTGATTTGTCTATTAATATTGGACTTTTCTGCAGCTATCGGGTGCCTCCTTCTCACTGAACTTGCTCTACTCTTTTGCTCCTCAGCTCTACTTACCCTTTATATCTGCTTCCTCTGCTCCTGTTTCCATGCTACGGAGTGCCTGAAATCATGCAGCCTGCCTTTTCTGCACATTTGTTCTTACCTCCTTGAGTATGACCATTTTCCTGGCAAAACAGCACCCCTTTAGATCGGGGTGGCCAACCTGTGGCTCCGGAGCCACATGCGACTCTTCAGAAGTTAATATGCGGCTCCTTGTATAGTAGGCACCGCCTCCGGGACTGGAGCTATAGGCACCAACTTTCCAATGTTCCCCGGGGGTTCTCACTGCACAACCCCCTGCTCTGCCCCAAATCCTGCCCCCACTCCAAGCCCTCCCCCCCCCCCCGAGCCTGCAATGCCCTCGCTCTCCCCCCCCTCCCCCCCCGGCTCCTTCTCAGGCTTAGGTTGGCCACCCCTGCTTTAGATCAACTCCAGCACCTTCAACCTTTCCGACTCTTATCTATATCTGTCTCCTGATACCCCTGTCTCTCTCCTTTCAATCAGAGCAGGATCCCACTAATTTCTTCAAGGATAAAATTGATTCCGTGCAGCAGAATTTTCACACCTTTCACTCTGTGCTCTACCTCTATCCTATACACGCTCTCCCTGCTCAACATTTTTTCCTTCCATTTTTTCCTCTATATATTCTCTTAATGTTCTTCACCTCTCCTTCGACCGTAACCCTTGTTCATGCTTTAGTCATCTCCTTTCCATTCTCTTGCCTCACTCTCCTCCAGCCTATCCACAATATGAAGTATTGTGGGGGAGGGAAGCCATTCAGATACTGTGGTGATGAGCACATCATATAAACAGAGAGCCAAAATGCTGCCGCTGCTGCAGAAACAATCTTCCTTTCCCACCATTTGGATGTTCTGCTCCTATTCACATTTCTCACCCTCCCTTCCAGCTGTGTACACGACCTCACTTCTGCTTATCTTTGCTATCATTCCCTCCTAGCACCCTTCACTAACACAGGCCTTCCTTCTATCTGTTTGTATTAGAGTAGCACCTCGGGACTTCAAGTGAGATCAGTCCCCTATTTTGCTAGGAACTGTACCAACATATAGTAAGAGGGAGGCCCTGACTTGAAGTGCTTATAGTGTAAATAAACTAGACAGAGTGGGAGAAAGAGCATGTTACTGTCATTTTACAGCTGGGGCACTGAGATGCAAAGAGACTAAGTGAATTGCCCAAGATCACACAGGAAAGGAAAAAGAAAAGGAGTACTTGTGGCACCTTAGAGACTAACAATGGAAAGGAAAGATCACTAAGCCAGAAACTGAACCTATGAGTCCTAGTTCACAAAAAACATCCTCTGCATTCCTCTCCATTCTCTGCTAGGAGCCCTTTTCTATGCTGCCCCTTACAAATCTTCCTTTTTGTACTGTGCCACAAACCAACCCTTTTCTCTTTAAATCCCTTCTCAAAAATCAGTTATTCCAAGAAGCCTTTCTGTGATAAGCCACCTGAGAAACAAATCTTTAAAAATATTTAATTAAAATCACTACATCTGAACTTTTGATCTTCATCTGCACAACTGGTGTGTTATGCATATGTCCTCTATTGTGTGTTCAATTTAGATTGTATCAGAGGGATAGCCGTGTTAGTCTGGATCTGTAAAAGCGGCAAAGATTTTGGCACCTTATAGATTATCAGATGTATTGGAGTATAAGCTTTCATGGGTGAATACTCCATTGGGGCTTACATCCGACGAAGTGCGTAGAGACCATGTCTTTATTGTACAATGCCAAATGTGGTTTGTCAGTGCTTAAGATTAGCTATGGTCCAACTATGCTGAATCTAGCCACATCCTTATTAATTTTATATTAACATAAGGATGGGTACAGAGAACTCAGGTATTGTAAATATTACACGCTTTTAAAAATGGCCACAGAAAAAATGGTTAGAAAAAAGACAGACACTCAAAAGAAAACCCATCATTAGTGGGAGATGTGCCCCTAGGAAAAATTCAACCTGGTGAACTTTACAGTATTTTAGATCGAATACAGAGGTCTCAAGTAAATAACTAGTTTATTTGGAACTCAATTAATGTTAATGTTCTCAGGAGTTTCTCTTGTTCACAAAGATTCCTTTCCTAGTTTTATGCACTTTAAAATTCCGTTCCATTTTTTACTCTTCTTTAATTCAAAGAGCAATCTCATCTCCTTCCCACTGTGATCAGAGCACTGGGAATTCATGGGGCAGAATTAAGGCTGTGGTTGCACTCCAATACAATGGGAATTTTGCCTGTTAAGGAATGCGAGATTAAGCATGCAGATCCTGATCCAAAGCCAATGAAAGTCCTTTGCTTGACTTCAGTGGCTTTGGATGAGGCTCTTTGCCCTTACAGAACCTTTTCCTGCTCTTCCTCAGGTGTGAGAATCTATCTCAAGAGTGGTGTTTATCAAGAAAAAGTAGATTAAATGTTAATTCAGGGTTTCAGCCCATGGTGGTGTTACGAATTATACCCGATAGGTCACGCACAGGAACTGCTGCGAATTATACCCAATAAGTCATGCACAGTTCGAGTCTAGGCTGAGGCACACGAACCAAGTCCACAACTGCAGAGTTCCCAAAGAGACTAAGCTTATTATGCTCGAGCGTGGTGCCCCCCTGCTAATCAGGAGGGGACCCCGAATGCAGGTTATACAGATATTATATACCTTTTAGCAAAGCATGTTGCCCTTGTGCATCAGAAACCTTAGCCAATAGACAAATCATTCCCTTATCTATCACCTATCCCTGCTAGGTACATTCCCCGTGCTAAACCATTACTTCAACTACACAACATGGTCCTAAAGCAATGCACCAGTAGCCTTTCTTATCAGGATGGGAGACTCACATCAAGGCCAGGAGACAGACAAAGAACAGAAACCAGGAGTTGAGACAGGCTGGAAACAAGGGGGAGGGTTTTCACAGGAATGCAGTATCTAAGGAACACTCCTCCTGGTGCATGATGTGCTTGCTTTTAGACAATGGTGGGCCCCAAACCAAAATGGAGTCACATATGCTAACTTTTCCTTAACAGTGGTTAAGAAGTTTTGCAGCACCCACTTATCCTCCTGATGCTCAAGTCCATAGAAAGGCTGACTTGTTCTCATACTCTAAATAGTCTATAGCTGAAGAGTTTGGTGCTCCAGTATCATGACATGGCATTCTCTGTTGCATTAAAAAAGCTGGCATGCTCATTTTTGAGATAGCTCAGGAAGCATTTTCATACAACAGAAATCAATACTAATAAATGTGACACTGTTTAGAGTAGGACAAAAAGTGTTGCTTGCTCTATTTTATTGTTTTTGCTTAAGGTTACAAATGTATTGCTCAGTAGTTTCTTGCATTTGTTAGATGGAGGCTGAGGAAGAAGGGGCAAAAAACCCATCAGAAGTTGACTTTGAAAACTTACCTCCCAGCTACCATAATGAATCCAACACAGACACCAAAATTGGTAATAAAACCATTCATACCCACCAGGAAATTGACAAGGTAAGAAACAATGCATATAACGATTTACCTTTTCTGTATACTGGCCTTGCAGAGTAAAAGAGCGTGTCACATGTTGAAAAATTTTAGAGAATGTAGAGTTGAATTCATAAACTTCTTGTACTGTATATGATTTGCTTGTATAATTAGCAGTTAAGTGGGGAAGTGGAAAATGGTTAATGTGGCAAAATGCTTTGTTTTGTTTCATTGCTGTAGTGTCTTTTCACATTGCATAGTAATGCCTGGAAAATATGGAATACAGACATGATACATAATGTGGAATGTAAAAGTGATCACTGCTCGAGGCTTGATTGATTAGCTTCTTTACTAAGACATTTCAAAAAAGAATAGTGGGATTCATTATCCAATTTTACCAGCTGCAGTCACTATTGCAGTGCAGGAAATGAAAAATAAATAGAATTAACATTAGAGTAATACTGGACTAAACAGTAACAGAGGACTAAAATGGCATTCATATTCATCTAATTTATTGTTCCTGTTTTGCCATATTAGGTTACAGATAACAAAACTGGATCAGCAATCTATTCTGAGACCGTTATTACATCTATAAAAGATGGAGAAAGCAAGAGGAATCATGTGAGTGAAGACTTCCTTTTTTTCTTTTAAAAATGAAACAAAAACATTGGCTTTATCATCTAGAATAAACCAGTACAGTTTAGAGCTCAGCCCAGCATAACTGTTAAATATTAAAAACAAACCACTTAGCTTTACACAAAATAATATTTTAAAACCCCTTTTATCTACCAGGAATTGCCAGTGTCAGGCTGACTTTTTTTTTTTTTTTGGTATAGTTTTTCTTATTGAAGGATCCCAGAGAACCTTAGAAACTAACTTGCTATCTTCATTTATGCAAAACTCATACTGAAGTCTTATGGGAGTTTTGCCTGAGAAAGCACAAAAGCAGTACTTAATTTGTGCCAGGGCTTGCCAGGGGTGAGCCTTGGCAGTTCATAACTATGGCACTGCTGGGCTTGCTGCATCAGTTATGAATGTAAAAAAAAAATTGCTTGAGCCCCAGCACCTCTTTTATAGCAAATTAAGTACTGCCCAAAAGAATCTGACACAAACATTCTTCAGAGCTGAAATTCAGCCATCTGTGGGGTACAGAGAACATCAGAGTAGGTGGTTTCTTCACTGTGTTCTTTGGCTGCTGCCTGATGTCATTCAGCCAGGCAGCACTATCAGGCAGGCCAATGGCTAAGGAAACTAAATTGGAGTCCACCGCCTGAACTCCAGTATAAACTCCCAGTATCTTCTGTTCCTCACAACCTTCTGGTACCTAACACCACAAGGTTTGAATTGTAGCATAATGTGGAAGAATTATTCTGATTTTGTGGGTAAGCATAGTGGTGGGTATAAAGGTTTTGTTGGCATGAGCTGGGATGGGGCTATCGCCACATCCTGATTATGCAGATCATTCCAATGAGAGCTAATATTTCCTTAGTGCTACTCTGCTGCATAGATGTTCTGTCTGTGTCTTGTATTTTACAGAAAACATCTTCAGAAAAAGTTATTGGTACTTTTTATATTCATTTTCTACTTTTCATGTCTCTCGTTCAAATCTCTTCTAAATATCACTTTTTCAGAAATGCCCCATAAATAGAGGTTTAATAGTTAATATAAAATCCAAACAAAACAAAACTCCAGGCTTTTCTCCAGGCTATTGCTCATTCTGCGCTTCAAGCTAGTGTAATACCAAAGATTGGGAAAATGGAATTTCTATATTTTGTGGAGAAATAATTTTGTGGCTTTATTTTTTTAAAAAGGTGGCTGTTTGAAGCTGGTCAGTGGGGTGAAACATAAAGAATAAACCTGGTAGAGCGCAATCAGGACTCATTCCTTCAATCACATGTTTATTTTACTACCATAGGAATCCTATAGGATTTAATGGCTAGAGTGCAGGTGAGACAGTCCGTGGTACAAGTTAAGTAATTTATCACACGGTTCCAAAATTTTACCTTGAGAATTTGAAGTTTTAGATCAGAGAAGTACTTTGTCAGGTAATCAAAGAATGCTAATGATAGTCAAACACTGAAATGGTTGCAGAGCTAAAAATTTACCTTACTTTTCGTAAATCTTCCACTTACTGTGCTTAGGTTACATGACAGCTTTCTGGCTTCTGATATTGTTGCGATTTGTCTCTTCTCCCCCTTCCTGCCGCCTTCTGGTACCACATCATTCACGTTTATTGTGGTTCTTTCTTGGAACAAGCTGCTAGTTCAATCCTGCTCAGGGAGCCTGTGTGGAGGAATAATACTCCTTTGTGGTTTACTGCCCTTTATCCTATTACTGAACTCTAATTAAACTTGTTCTGTTAGCATCAGCATGAAAATTTCTCCACCAACTTTATTAAAATGGAAATGGAAGGGGATTTCTCGATAGCCATGTATGTTTAATTGAGAAGTCTTGCTGCTAGCAAAGTAAAATATTAATTATTGAAATATTAATAACTTTCTTGCATGAATATTTACAATTTATCCAGGACACTGATAACTGTATAAAGTATCTTCTATTTGTAGTTTAGAACGTTTAGTCTGGTCTGTGTTGGTATGATTGAAAAATAACTTTTGCCTGGCAGCTCTTTGGTGTTCTAGCCAAAATGATTTGGTTGTCTCAGTCCAGTCCCTAGGAGGGGATGTTTACATTGCATAGCTCACCCTCAGAACTGGAATCAGTTTAAACCCTAGAGACAAACACCAGGGACACATTGAGGCATGGGGCAGTGTGGACTGGAACAACAGTGCACTGCTACTGCTTTGCTGTCAGTAACTAGTTTCTTTTTTGGGGGCTGCCATCTTTTGTGGGGAGAACCCTTTTTTTAGTCAGTGCTACAGCTGCTTGCAGGCAAACCAACGCTTCTTTGGGTCTCTGGCTTATAAGTCTATCCTCCATTCCACACTGGAAGATCACCCCACTGGTTCTTGATGTACTGCTAAGGGAGATATAACAAAGCGCCATTCTCGCACAGCCCAATTTGCAGTCCTGCAGCACTGTAAAGCACTGGCTTGAAGGAGCAGCAGTGAGGGTACGCCAGGCTTCTTGGTGGTGGTTGTAGCGAAGTCAGACTCACCGGCGCAGCAACTCCTGCTGGTGATCCTGGGAATTAGCTCGATTCCAAGCTCAGAGCACCCTCTGCAGGCCAGTGGTTCGCCTGCCGCTGGCCTCCTATCCCTCCCAGATCCCAGTGTCCCTTTACCTTGGGGTTCTGCCCAAACAGTACCTCCATACTCTGGCTCTCCCCTCCCTGGAGAACCCCCAACCCTCTACATCCACCTTGCCTCAGTGGCTACTGCCAGTCATCATCTTGCCCCCGCTCACTGGGGTAGACTGCAGTTTGTAATGGCCACTCATCATTGGCAAAGGGGGTTTGGACCTACTGCCTTCGCCTAACCCCAGGCTGTTCCTCCCAACCCCTGTACCTGCATAGGCCTCTGTCAAGACCTGCAGCTTGGGAGTTGCCAGGATGGACCTTCCCAACTCCTCCTCCCCCCTTTCCCCAGCACTGCTCTGTCTCAAGTACCCTTCTCTCCCAGGCAGCCAGGTCCAGAGAGAGACAGATGCTCAACTGCTGGTTCACAGCCCTTTTATAGGGCCAGCTGTCTCCTCATTGGGTGTGGCCCCAGCTGTGGCTGCCTTCCCAGCCTTCTTATTGGCTCTCAGCCCAGCCCTCTCCAAGGGCTGGCTTTTAACCCTTTCTGAGCTGGAGCTGGGGGACCGCCTCGCTACAGTGGTGTTATGGCTGAGGGGATAGAGGGAAAACAAGCCTGAATAACTTAGAGCTGGGAGAGCAGTGATGCTGAAAATTGTATGAGGAAATAAGTCAGGGTGAAAATTGTAATGGGGGTTAATGAAATCAGGCTGAAGATAACATTGAAGGGCTCAAGGCAGCAGAGAAGACCCAAGGCCTGACATCACTAAGGTAAGAAGGAGACTAGAAAGAAGTAAATGAGGGAAAGAGAAGGAAAGTGCCTGCAGTGATTGAAAGTTGGCAGAGGGAGAAACTGAGTGTGGGTGCAAGGAACATGGGAATTCTTGGAAGGGCTTATGTTTATCGGCCCTTTGTGCTAACCCACTCACTTGCAGATCTCAAGTGACTACTGCTTGTCTGCTGGTAAACAAAAAAGGCATAATATTCTAATGCTGAATAGTATCTGACTAGAGATTAGGGCCAGATCCAACCCCACTGATTTAAGGCTCTAAACACTGTATTATCTAGGAACGAGGTAGATTTTTTTTTTAAATGAGGAACACAGTTATGTACTTGTAGCAGTGAAGAGGTTAATGTGTATCTCTTATGTGCAGTATAGTACTTGGGAATGAAACTAATTTTGTAATCTAACTTTCTGGCAAGCTGTGTATCAAAGTAGAATGACAGCTGTTAGGATATAGATATTCAGGCCTGTCTGTAAAGGTCTATACTCTAAGAATGTAGGTATATGTTTATCATTTAGCTAATAATAGAGGTATACAAGAAAGAATCTGTGTAAGGGCCTTCTCTCACTGTGACAGTCTGAGACCCTGTTCTTAGGCCAATGCCTTTGGCTAAGCAGCAGAGCCAGCCATAAGCTGGGAAGCGTACGGTCACATCCTCACATTCCAAACTAGTCAATATGGGGCTGTTAGGAAGGTGATCCGATCTATCACCTTCAGAGAAAGGGAAGAGCCTAGAAGATGTAAAAGGAAATTTAGGTTGATAGTTTTCTGTCTGGTAAGAACTCACTTATCAATAGACACAGCTGGGAAACCCTTATGTCTTTATAGATGTAGTTGTGAAATCCTCACTTCTGTATTGTTTTGTCATTATAGTTCCCACTTTGCTATTGTTTATTGGCATGGTCTCTGGTTCTGTGATTGTTTCTGTCTGCTGTATAATTAATTTTGCTGGGTGTAAACTAATTAAGGTGGTGGGAAAAAATTGGTTAGCTAATCATGTTACAATATGTTTGGATTGGTTAGTTAAATTTCAGTAGAATGATTGGTTAAGGTATAGCTAAGAATATTACTATATAAATTAGGGGCAAATAGGAAGTAAGTTGGGATTCGAAAATAAGGAAAAAGGAACTTGGATTTAAGCTTGCTGGAAGTTTACCCCAATAAACATCAAATTGTTTGCACCTTCAGACTTTGGGTATTGTTGCTCTCTGTTCATGCGAGAAGGACCAGGGAAGTGGGAGAGTGAGGGAATAAGCTCTCTAACAACAGCCAGATTGTAAATCATGCAGCATTCCTGCTAATAAGAACACGTGTCAGTGTGGAGTATTTCTTGGAACAACTACTAGATTTTCTCCAGCAAGTTCACACCATAGACTTGAACTTCTTTCATTTGCTCTTCCTAGTACAGAGCTTGCTAGACATTTGTTTAAAGTTGCTGGCTTTATTAGAACTATTCGTAGTGTAATATATATTTAAAGCCCCAAAGCTGAAAACTGCAAAGATACATTGTTTCCCTTATGTTAATGACTCCTTCCCCCAATTAAGTCTCTCTCAGAGAAGAAGCTTTTTAGAGTCACCATATGGCATATATAAGGGGAACATAAGTGGTGGTAATGTCTTAAATTTTCAAAATTGTTTTCAGA